TTGGTCAGTAGAGGAGCTTAGCTTAGTCTGACAGTTAGCCTGCTTTAGACCAGGTTAGTTTCCCAGCACAAGTTGCCACAGTGACTAAGCTTGATCTAGGCCTATGTTAAATTTGCTTTATGGAACCAAATCATTTGACAATGAGTCAGACTAACTGAAATAAGCCTGGCTTATTTGGTTGACTTGTTTTATGAAACTGGCCTCGAGACATTAAATGTGATCATATTTTCTCCATTGCATCGAATCGCATTGTTGAATCGAATCGAATTGAAATCGGATCGCACTGCATCGTAATAGAGGTGAATCGTATCGCATCGCATCGGTAGGTGCTTCATATGTATCTTTACTGTATCGTATCGTTGGCTATGCATCGAGATGCGTGTCGTATCGGCTTGAGTCATGAGATGCACATCCCTAATATAAACACATGCTTTCACAACAAAGCACACAGCGTCTTCACGACATGGCGGCAGCGGCAACAACAATATACAGCGAGAATAAAAGTTACGCCTTCTTTCTTTGCGTGAACATTTGGGCGGCGTTATGTAAATGTTCCCACATAGTGACGTAGGTATGTGGGGGCGTGTTAGAACGAGCCGTTTTAGGTAGGTGTGGCTGACTCTTAACTTTTATAAAGAATATCTCTTTGGATTTGAGACTTCAGTCTTTGCAACTTTACAGATCTTCTTTATGCACCAAGAGCTTGTAACACTCCAAAGAGAAAGGAAAAATTGAAATCACATCATATGACCTCTTTAAAAATTCAATATCTAACTAGCCATCATCTTACTTTTTTGACCATATAAATATCAGCATTTGCACCAAATTGCATAATTTTGCTTAGTTTGGGCCTTTGAATAAAATCATGCTTTTTTTTCCTCCTTGAGTATGAGACTATGAGAGCTATGAGATCATGTTTTTGTGAGATTCACTATTGCATCTTTGCGTGTGTTTTCAGAGGAGCATCTCGGAGAACTCACTGGTGGCCATGGACTTCTCAGGACACAAGAGTCGGGTGATCGAGAACCCGTCAGAGGCGCTGTCAGTGGCTGTGGAAGAGGGCCTGTCGTGGAGGGTAACGTCCCCACACAGAGAACGCACACTGCATACTAGATTGTGACAGTGTTGTGCACAGATATTGTAAAGGGGTCATGAGAGAAAAAATCAAATTTGACATAAGAGGTCTTTGTATCATTAAAGCATCCTGAAAATTTCCTAGCTTAAACCATCCGCCTCATTATAAACAAAGCATTTATTCAGTCAAGCTCAAAAATGACTCTTTAAGATATTGTGGGATTTGTGATGTCACACGAGAAGTGTAAAGCTGTATCTGTCTTTTATAAATCTGATAAAACTAAAGACTCTTCAGAGATATGAAGGATGTAATACTACTCTATAGGTATTCAAGATTAACATGAGACTGGCAGAAGCTGTGTGTGTTAAACACGCCCCTTAAAAAACGGATCATTGTAGAAAGAGGGTCAGAATGACCCTTGTTTTTTCTACATTTACATTAGTTTTTTTTGTGTAACATTATTAGTGAACCTCAAGGAACATATAATAAAATGATAATATAAATATATATATTATAAAAAAAAT